AGACTAAACTTTATAGCTCAATTGTATACAGCACAGCTGTGAGGTGGCCCTGGGGCCAGGCCCTCTGGGGCTCTGCTCCTGGCCAGCCTGCTTTGCGTTGTACGGTAGGCTCTGTGCCGTGCCAGGCTGCCCCGGTCTGCTCCCAGGACACATCTCCAGCCGGTGTTTCAGCTCAGCCAGGGAGAGGCAGTCTTCAGTCCTTGGTGGAAAGAGAAAGTGTACTCCCAGAGCCACAGCAGGGAGCTGGCTTTTATGGACAAAAGTCCATGCCCCTGGTCCCTGATTGGTCAGTCATCATGCAAATGAGGACTCCAAATTCTTGCAGTTTGATTGGTACAAAAGGCAATGTCCTGATTGGTCAGATTAGAGCTGCTCTGATTAGCTGAAGCGGTGGAAATCAGGTTGGATGGGGAAAGCCTCAGTCCTATTGGTTGAAGTAGGATTTCCAGAACTTTTTCATAAGGGCTGGCTCAGATCTAGAAATACAGTGCACAATGTTCAGTGCAGGCCTCTCCTTGAAGTGCAGTTTGCATAGAGGCCTCTGCCTACAATGGCTGGTGGGCTCTGTTATTGGGGTGTTTGTTTTTGACTTTGAGCCCAGTTAGCCAGCAGGAGCCCTTCTTTGTCAGGGTTCACACTTTCTTATTTTGTTCACTGTCTGTCTCACCCTCTTTAGAGTGTAAGATCCATGAGGGCAGGGTTTTTGTCTGTTTGGTTCATTACAATACCCTCTGCACCCAGATATTTGCTCCCTTTTAATAGCAGTGAAAACTGGCTCAGACACTTCAGGGTCTTGTACCAGGCTACACAGCTCCAAAATGTTCATCTCCTTCTTTTAAATTGTTGATCATTTTAATACTGATTTTTAGAGAATGCTCGAAATAGCCAATGTCCTCAAGTTCTCCTGCAGGGGTATTTTCTTGGAGGTGGAGTGGGGAGATGCTTAGCAGGCACCCTGAGTGTGGAGGCTTACCTGGTAAAAGTTGGGGCCCTCAGATCAAGGCTGGTTTAGCACAGAGGGCATTAAAAAACAAGACTGTGCTGCCCTAACCGGTTTGGTTCAGTGGATAGAGCGTTGGCCTGGGGTCCCAGATTCAATTCCGGTCAAGGGCATATACCTTGGTTGTGGGCACATCCCCAGTAGGGGGTGTGCAGGAGGCAGCTGATCGATGTTTCTCTCTCATGGATATTTCTAACTCTCTCTCCCTCTCCTTATCTGTAAAAAAATAAAAAAAATATATTTAAAAAACAAAAACAAGATGGTGCTTTCCAAGGCTGGGGCAGTGAGTGGAGCTAGAATTAGAATGTTCTGCTAATGCATTCTGTGCTTTCTTCATTTCCAAGTTCAAGCTCAGGGGTTGGGGATCGGGGAGAGAGAACAAAAATCGCCAGACTTCACCTTCAGATCCTTTTTGGAACGAGACAAGTTGATACAAACCAATAAAGAAAGCCTCAAGGGCTCCCCCACCCACTCCCTAAACCGCCAGAGCAAGCACCCTTTTGTCTGCTTGTTCATTTCCCGGGCCTCCCGCAGTCCGGGGGCAGGACGGTCCTCTTTAGGATAACTTTTACTTGGAACAGATCCTTTCGTCAACATGAGAAAGACTCTGTTTGGAATAAACCTTCATGGAGGCCATTGACCTGTGAGTGTCAGGTCGCGCTGGGAGGGACACGTGGGGTGAGCGGAACATTCTCTCCACACAGCGCAGCCCTGCCCTGGCTTCTCTATTGTCAAGGGCCCCGTGCCTCCCACGGAGAATTTGGGTTCTGGGTGCTGGGTGGCAGGGCCACACTTACAAAAGTGAAAGGTGCTGTCCCCCAGGGTTGTCTGTAATTTACCTGGGAGAGGTGAATGAAGATCCTAAAGAGGGGTGAGGGGGTGTGGGAGTGACTGTGCCAAGAGGGGGTGACAGCAACGGTAATGTGCCCTCTATGAGGGCTGCGAGCAAGCAGAGGGGATCAGATAGTTAGACCACGGGTGGGCGTGAGGTGGGAGCGATGAGTGAGGGATCAGATCAAACCTCACAAAACAGGAAGCGCCCTGCAGGACAGGGTTGGCCAGATGGGTGCCCCTGGTCCTCCCGGGTTAATGAGGAATCTAATGCCAGCGGCTGGTGTCTGGGCACGTAGGCCCAGGCGGCCACGTCCAGGACAGTGATCACACCCAGCAGCCGGGCCCTTATCGCTGAGGGTCAACAGTCAGGCTTTGCCGCTGGAGGGGCTTGGAGAAGCCAGTGGCTGGTGGGGTGGATCCTACCGCCTTGGGGCCAGGACTGGGGGCCTGGGGTGGGGGTAGTGACCTCCAGACACGCCCCCTCTTCTCTGCAGCTCCCCGCTGTGCCTGGCTCTGTCCTAGAGGGACAGCCATCGGGCCGTGGCCGCCCGCCAGAGGCCGCGAGGGAGGGCGAAAGGCCACAGCCGAGGCGGCGTGCGCTCTCTGTAGATACGGCCGCCGCCCGGCCCCCTCCTGTAGACTCTGGCCGCGGGGACCGGCGCGCCGCTCCATAAAGAGCCGGGCGCAGGGCCGGGCGGCGGGACCGAGGCGGTGCGGGCTCCGCGGGGTCGGGGCGGGGGGCGCCACCTGTGCGCGCTGCTGGGACCATGGGCCGCTACTCGGGCAAGACGTGTCGCCTGCTGTGCATGCTGGTGCTCACCGTGATCTTCTTCGTGGCCGAGCTGGTGTCGGGCTACCTGGGCAACTCGATCGCGCTCATCTCCGACTCGTTCAACATGCTGTCGGACTGATCTCGCTGTGCGTGGGGCTGGGCACGGGCTCC